CCCTCTTTTTCTGATATCAGTTTTAATATTATCCTCCTGTCAACCCCTAGGTTTTCCATCCGATCTCCCCAAAATTGTGTATGCATTTCTTGTTTTCCTCGCCCATTTCATCCGCCTTTGATTTGAGCGTCCCTAGTATTTAGCGAAGAGTACAGATTACGCTCCTCACTGCCCTGTTTTCTCCAGCCTCGTCCATATATTCTCCTAAGCACGCTGTTCTCGTATACCCTCCCCAGTCTGTGTCTTCCCCTCAGTGTGAGAGATCAAGTTTCACACCCACACAAAACAGCAATAACATTTGCACACACATCTATATAAGAATATTAACTACATAATTTTTCAGAGTAGCTTAATATCTGGATCTTGTTTTTTTCTGTTTCACAGGAACTGAACATAATTTTCAAAAATTTGGTTGGCACATGATGCAGAGTCTTGGAGTCTCGTATGACACAGGTACACATTAATAATATTATCCTTTCATTCTTTAATTTGACAAAGCGTATAAAGACGAAAAATCCTTTAACACCCAATATTAAAATATTAAAAATAAAAATATACGTCTTTTTATATACCTTCATTTTCAGATATAAATATTCCAAAAATTTACTTAAATTTAAATCTTTACTGTTATCTCCTTACAAAACCAAAGAGATTCACTTCCCGAAATTACTTGCTGAAACACTGATTTAAAATTATCGGAATAACATAATTTATAATGAAATTTCTTCCTTTACGAAGTACCGAGTTACTGATTTTGTAGTTCCTTAAGAAGTTACGTAATGATAATATCGAATATATTTAGTAATAATATATTTTTATTAAATTATTTCGTAAACAGGATCTCTGATGCACTATGGCAGATACGCGTTCTCCAAAGATTATCGATCTCCTACGATTGTACCTAGAAATCCCGATGCCAATATCGGTCAAAGAAGAGGATTTAGTCAGGTAAATTTTAACTAACGTAATTATTACAAGACTACGCAATCATATGACAGAACTAACCTCACTTTACACATAAACACCGTGGGGAGACGTACGTATAGTTTAACAATTCTGACATATTTGCGATAATTTAAAATTTAACCTTCCAAATAATGCTAGTGGCAGCAGGGCCGTCAGGAATTAATGACCTTTCACGTACGACATCTGTTATTTTCTCCAATTTCAACCAAAATTTTAATAAAATTCCCCCAAAATCAAATTTGATTATATTTAGTAGCTATAAAATGACAATAATACGAAGAAAAACTTAAGTTCACTTATCTCTTTCAGATTGATCTGTTGAAACTAAACAGACTCTACGAGTGTCAGAAAGGAATTCTGGTACCTACGGGTCCTGTGACGTCTAAACCTTGTAAGTGTTAACTCGGACACGAACTTCGTACTCAGTACAACTTTTCGTACTGAATCTCGAGGCACACGAGATTCAGTACGAGATTGGCTTACTTAACCTACGCTTGCAGACTAGTATTGTTGTTAATTACCATGGTAACAATCAGAGGCAGAGCAATAACGAGTGTAGACGTAATGAAAGTGTAATTTAAGCATTTTAAAATTTCTAATTAAGACTTTTTTGAGTCTGAAAAGTATTAATGATAAGTCCAGATTTTAATTTTAGGTTATGTACCGGTATTCTGAGTTAAAATTACGTATAGAATATTTTGATCCCTCAGATGATATGAAATAACGACAAACATCTGACATTCGTGTATTATTGTCAGTGTTACTTCTCTTACAGATGAATGTTCTAATAACAATAGGCTCTGTCAACACTGGGCCAACAATGGTGAATGTACGAAGAACCCAGCATGGATGAACGTGAACTGTGCAAAGTCTTGCAGGCTGTGTGGTAAACGTAACATTTCAATTTACATCGATTTAATTTTCAGAAATTAAATAACCTTCTCGTTGCTGACAGGAGAAACGGGGAGCTTGGAAGCTGTATTTCTGTGATGATAATAAATTCATGTTACTGTAAATGAAGATGCAAAAAAAATATTTCGAGGACTTCCATTATTCAGCCTTTTCAATCTTTAATTTATCTAATAATAAGAAATTAAGAATTTTAGGTTATGTTTCCAGTTTCTGTTCCTTTTCTCAGCAGATTCAAAATGCGGTAATTATAACAGGAACTGCGAGGAATGGGCACGACTCAGAGAATGTACGAAGAACCCCGACTATATGACAATTTACTGTCCCAAGGCCTGTCACTCGTGTCATGGAGGTATTTATTTGTCGAACGTTTCTGTAAACGAGCGATATCGTCTGATTGCGCGTCGCTCTGCGCATGCGCTGACTTCACCTTTTTTTTTTTCAGGGACCGGCGCAGATGTTGGCTGTAAAGACTGGAATGAATACTGTGCGGCGTGGGCAAGAAATGGCCAGTGCAGAGTAAACCCAGATTACATGCTTGTCTACTGCAGAAAATCTTGCAGTCAGTGCTGACATTGTCGTGTGAATTGTTTGCCGATGCACTGTGACATCTAAATGTAGGTTAGAAGAAAATGAATTATTTGTAATGTCACAAATTATATATTTAATTTTTTTGA